TAAATATAGTAAATTTAGTATATGTATAGTATATAGATATAAAAGTCGTTGTCTGATAAAGATTCTGACTCCAGAAGCTATCGGCTAATATCTATGCTCTGTCAACTATTTAAAATGCTTGAGCGCATGATCCTTAATAAAATTCATCCAGAATAGACGAAAAACTGGTAAAAGAACAAAGTGACTTTAGACCAAGAAGATTATGTACAGCACAAATACTAAATCTTACCTATGAGATCGAAGTCGGATACGACAGACACCAGGTATACAAGGCGGTATTTGTAGATCTCATTGCCGCTTGCGACAGCGTAAATCACAAGAGAAGCTTTTTCGTATCTCTCAATGGAAAAATATTAGATAAAGAACACAAAAGAACGATTTCGCTTAGGGTAGCTTAATGACATCTACACTGTATAACATTTACACAAATTACCAACCTAGTGGATGTGTTATGTATGGATGTGGAGACCCACTCACATACATAAGCTCTACCCTATCGTAGGATCACTCCCCCTGATATCGGAAGAGAAATAATATAGCCAGATATGTGGAACGATAGAAACAAATCCTAAATTGGCAACATCCACTCTACAATTACCAGGCTATCCCACTAAGACTCAAATCAAGGAAAATCTTTTAGCCAGATTAGCACATCTGCAAGATACACCAGAAAGAACTGTGCCAAATGGAAAGTAAGTATTCCTTGTCATCTGAATCCTTAAGAAGAACTTTCGTCTGGTAGCCATCTTCCTTACCCTGTATGGAGAATCCTTAGTCGTTTTCAAGTCGGAGAGCATAGGTGTAAAACCAACATGGGGAAATTGAGACTGTTGCCTGCTGATTTCAATATCCTGTGTGAATGTGGGGTTATACAATATTATGTGCATGCTCACTCTGATGCTTAGTTGTTTTCTGTTGGAGAAACCTTTCACTGAACACGATCTCCTGCACGAAACTGACATGGTCATTCAGACTGCTCTTTTCTGAATGGACAAGATTTAATTGTTTAAACTGGACACGTAATGTAAATAAGCGGAGGGAATTTCAAACCATAGTGGGAGGTTTTTAACCATGATATACGATGGTGTCCCGGTTCCCTTTTGCCAAATACTTTGAATCTGATAACCATGGATTTGGTTTTTCTACTGTACTCTAGGCCGTACTTTATAGTCACAGTTCTAACGCGGTCCAGTACAGTCTGTATATAATTTAGGCTGGTTTATAATAGCACAGTAACGGCGTAGCGGAATTGTTGATTAATTCTTCGTTACTTCGGACTGCCATCTCCAGGTCCGTGAAGGTTTTAGTGAAAATTGCTTCAGAGTATATATTGAGAAGAGTCGAAATTCCTAGGTTCGTGGAAATTACTAATAGTGTTTGTTTTGTATTTATATATCTTGTAAAGATAAATGTCTATCAAGTAACAGCCGATTTTGATTTTCAATAGAGTGTTTTGTGATATAATAATTCCAATGAAGCAGAACGGAAAATTCTAGAAAATAGTCATAAGACCAGCTATGATGTACGGAACTGAATGTTGGACAGTTAAAAAAAGGAGCAACGAATGCATATGGAGGAAATAAGAGTGCTTAGATCGATGAGCGGAGTGACAAAAAAGGATATAATTAAGAATGAGTAGGGGAGAGTGGCTCCAAATGATCCTTGTGGGTAAAACAATCCTTCTCATTATTTTTAGAACTGCTAATGCCATCTGTATTTGTAGTAGCGTATCCATCACCCAATGCACTTCTACGGTCAATCGAATATAAGCCTCGTAGAAAGATTGTATTTAATATCTAGTAGTCCCGAATTTCGTGTATATAGTAATGATATATAACATGTTTAATATAAGGTGAGTCCCTTGAAACTATCGGAATGTTACTTTTAAATAAGTAAGAATGTTCAATTATTGTGATATAGTTGCTCTAAGTCCAATATTTTGCCAATAATTTACGATATTTACGAAATATAAAACCTTGACGGCTACGTAATAAACATGGCTTCTAGAAAAGTGTGCTAATTCATCAAAGTGATCCTCCATGGTATCGAGTTAAATGATCCTGAACCACTTTGCCCCCCTAGTGAAAAATGTATGATAAAAAATATAGGTAACTTGATTTTTATTTCAGGACGACAAAATGGTTCAAAAATATAAACAGAAAACCGACAGGCCAAAATGGAACAAAGGTAAAAATGAGGCAAGCTATAGAAAGTGTACATAATGGCCTTGCATACAAAACAGCAGCAAGAAATTCTAAGGTGCCGTTGATGAGTTTGATGCGACGTTGTAAAGGGAAAAATAAGCTAGCGACGGACCATTTGAAGAGACTTATAAGCAAAAGTAGCATATTAAAAAAAAAGAACAACAGCTTGTAACCTATATTCTCCACTGTTTTACCACCAAAAAAGTAAGGTCTATAGCGTACCAACTCGCAGTTAGGAATGTCATTGTGCATAGATTTTTGGTCTAAACAAAACTTACTGGTAAAGACTAGTTAAAGATTTTCGCACAAGATATCCTCTTCTTTCACTAAGATCTTCTGAAACAACATAGATCGCCCGCAGTCGTGCTTTTAACAGAATTGTTGTAACACAATTTTTCACTTTGCTTAAGACTATATTATATAAAACAAAAGAAGATGAAGAAGAAGTTAAAAGATAGTTCACCCCAGTAGCAGCATTCAGGTGTAATGATTCTGGGTGCAAGAATCTCGAATGGTTTGATCGTTTTATATCTTACGTTAAACCATCAACAGAAAATCTAGAGCTCCTAATTCTTAACGATAACATTTCTCACACCAAGAACTTGGATGCCATTGAAAAAGCCAGAAGTAATTTTGTTACCTTGTTATGCTTGCCTCTGCATACTACACACAGGCAACAGCATTAGACCTGAGCTTTATGTATCAAACACTACCATGATCAACTACTAGAAAAATGGCTGAATAATTACTCAGAAAGAGCTGTTGTGGTATTTTAAATATCGAGAATTTTTAATGAATCCTACACAAAAGCCTGCAACCCCATGAATACTATTAACGGTTTCAATAAAACCAGAGATGTACCTTACAATTCAGATGTTTTCTCAAAAGTTGATTTTGCAGCTGCTCAAGTTACAGACCAACCGTAAACATTCAACAAACTGGAAAGGTCATCATAACAGCCCCTTCAACTCCAGTTCAGCGAACTCTTTGTAAGAAAAATTGTGGCCAGGGCCCCAGTTTGGGCAACGATGAACTTAACAAATAAGAAATTAGGCCTTCGTCATCAGTTTCTTGTCTACATAGTGACACTGGCTCCGCATCTATACCTTCCACCTCTAATATCATTTTTCCTAAAGATATCTGCTTATTTCCAAAGTCGTTACAAACACGACGTACTACTAAACGAAGATCTGTTGGTACTGTTATTCTTACAAGCACTCCTTACCAAGATAAAAAAATACAGCTGCAGGTATTGGAAAGCAAAAAGGGAAAAACAAGAAACCACGTGTAATCAATCTTATAAAAAATAAAAAAGAGGACATAGATGAATAAGAGTCTGATGTTGATGGAAAATCGGTACTGTTATTCTTAAAAGTAATCCTTACAAAGACCAGCTTTTAGGTGAGCTGTAAAAAATGAAAGAATTAAACGAAAAGAGAGCTCTTAATGTAAAAAATAAAGCTGCAAATGTAATGGAAATAACGGCTTAATGTAATGGAAAGCAAAAAGAAATAAACAAGACACCACGTTCAATCAAAGTTATGAAAAACAAAAGAAAGGACCTAGATGATTAAAAGTCAAATGTTAAAGAAGATGCAGCTAGTTTTATTTGTTTTGGTACTTTTCTGTCTCACGCAGGAGAGAGCTGGGTGCAGTGTAATATTTGCAAACGTTGGGCATATGATGAATGCCCTGGAATAGACGACAATGATTGCGAGCTTTACACCTGCGATTATTGTAATAAAAATGCCAAGATAGATAGAATTCGTAGATAGTTGTAATTATTATTGTATTACATAATCCATGTTTATGGATTATAATATGCTGTACCATATTATAAGGAGTTTTTTGTTTGTTTTAGAGTTTAAATGGTTTAATTTTCTTATAAGGAGTCTAAAAATAATTTTCCGAATTTATTGACCTGTCTATCATTTTGGACCATTCTCCCCTATATTAGATGAAGTCTAGGGCTGGCGCCAAATGATGCCAAACTGAGAGAGCATAAGTTAAGATGGTTTGGTCATGTTCAACGTCGAGACGTTAATCACCCAATCCAAAGAATTGCTGAGGGCAGAGATGGAAAAATAATCAAAGATCTAAAGAAACTATTAAAAGATGGGATAAATATTGACAGTCTGCATAATACCTATAATGTAAAAAAATATCGAAGAACACATGAATCCGGGCCGCAGAAAAATGTCTTGAATAGCTAAATAAGGTTAATGATATAATCCTCTCCGATAGTAGCTAGGCTAGTTTTAGGTACTATATATATATATATATATATATATATATATATATATATATATATATATATATATATATATATATATATATAAGGTCCAGGTATTCTATCAAATATTGGATTTTAAACTTTGCTTGTAACATATACAACATATCTGAATTGTCAGTACAAGCAAAGCAGATATAATTAAACTACTAGAAAAAACCAAACTATGTAACATGTTTAATTTGTAAAAACTTGTATTCTGAAAACAATTTCATACGTGGAAGTTGAAACGTTGATGAACGAATTTTAACCCTACAATTGTGATTAATTGATTACTGTTACATATTAAATACAAAAGGTTATACATAACTGTTAATGTAAGTTCTATCTTTGCCATTTAAAACCAATTTTCCAATAATAGTTTAAATATAAATAGATTTTTGTAAACGAAGAAAGAAATTTTGTAAATCTTCAAAGAAACATTCTCTATTAAATTTAGTACATTATTTATCGGACGAATATAAAAAGTCATCTCGTGCACATTCTTTAAAATGTTTAAATTCTTATCACACTCTCATTTCACTCATGGCAGCATGTGGAACTCTCATATTACATTTATCAGCATTGTTATGAGTTAAAAGTGGCTGACTTTCTGGACTCCTAGCTCTGGGTGGAGGAGGCGGTTTAGGAACGCCTAGTGGCATAGTAGCATTGCCATTCGGTGGTTGCACCAAGCCCTGTTGTTGCATTTCCGCCATTGTGCAAGGTGTGTTATTTATTAACGTTAGGTTTTTTGGCAGTGTGACACAACCCTGATGTTGATAATTGTATAGTGAGGTATTCTTAGGAAGCGTCATACAATTCTGTAGCATTATGTTAGGACTTGGTGGAGGCGCTTTTAGAATAGTATTAGCGTTAGGAGCGCATCTTTGATGCATTTTGTTGATCTGATCTTGCTGTGCGTTAGTCAGAATTAACGCTGAAGTATCTTGCTCTACATCTACTATTACATTCGTATTTTGAGAGTAGCCTAAATGATGCTGGTGTTTGGAGATTGTCTCAAAAGCAGCTTGATTTCTGCTTTGCTGTTGCTGTAAATTCTTTACTTCCATTCTAGTTTTATCGCGTTGATAGTATACTCCAGCGAATATGAGAACATTTAAAATTAATAATGAGCAACCAATAGCAATAGTTACACTTAAAGCCGTGCTGTAAGCAGCATAACCTGCTGCTTCTAAACTGGCGAGTGTGTCAGTCGAGTTATTATGATTTTGAAAATTGTGATGATTGTAATTTCCAGAAGAAACAATATTAACACAAGTTGTTACCATAGTTTCTATTGTAGTGGAAGCTTCTAATGTTGTAAGACTAGAATTTGGTCTTCGTCTAATCAATTCCATTGTAGGATCGTAATAGCTTATTCTAGAAAGTGGATCAGGTCTAACTGCTCCTTCGTAAAGTTCAGCACTGTTATGGTTTCTAAATAAGTTATGTCTAGCAACTACATCTTCCATACCAGCCCTGTGAAGTTCAGGAATCAGGCGCAACCAAACACTGAGCTGATGTGCTCGGAAATGATTCTTCATTCTGGGTTTCATTCCTACAACAAATTAACTGTGAATGCAACGTAAATCATATTATAATAAATATATAAGATATACATATTTCTACTAAATCTTGGTCCAGAAATCCAATAACCTAGTATCTTTGATCTTGGTAGTAAACATACTGGGTTATTTTTAGCTTTTACTTATAAACGCCAGCTACCTTTATAATAATTAACATACGTACCTAATTCTAGATACTTTTGATGGACTGAATCATACTCATCCCACAAGATCGAACGAAATCTGTTCCTTTCCCTGGAAATGGCTAATACTGGATCTTGTTTATGATTTTCATTTGGGTTTCTGAAATCAAATTAGGTAAAAGTTAAAGCAGGCATTTTTTTAAATCGTTGATATTTTAATTATTATACAGTGTGGTCGAAAAGTATGGAAACATAAAGATATCTGTGACACCCTCTATTGTATAGTAAAAAGATGGTGGCTATGTATATTAGATGAACCACCAATTTATCATTTTATATTTTCGACGTTGCCAAATGTACAATTTCTGAAATACACGGATAATATGCGTTTTTGTTAAATTAAAACCTGTATATTTTTAAATATTTTATTACTGTTTTCTATTACCGATGCAATATATAATCTGTTAATGGCCAATATTGACCACTCATATGCAAAAATTGGGAAACATTTTTATTTTGTAATTAATATTAACTAAAGAAACAAGCCATTTTAACAATATACCTTGTAATAATAATACTAATTTCACATTTAATAAAAAATCTAGCCGCCTTAGATGTTTAACTAAGATGTTTTTTTGCTTTATAAAGATTGTACTTTACCAGTGACCTGATGATGACTAGAAAACTGTAGTGGTCGAAACCGATCGCTGCTTAATAAATAAATAGATTGTGAGTAACTTTGTCATTTATTTCTACTACCCAGTTTGAAATGGACTCAACACGAGCAAACAATTCATTATTTTAACATTTATGTTTGCTTTTATTAAAGTGATGATATTTATTTTAGGTAACTGCACTAATGATGGAGTTATTAATCCAAAAACATTCTGTGATGTAGCCCGACAAGGTCTTTCTAAAATATATATACATATAAAATACATTTTTTTCTTTTACTATGAGTTCGACTTTTATTATGCGTTCATTTACAGCATCCCAGTTATAATTACATCTGCCTCATCTTCTTTTTAATGAGTATAGAAACGAATAACATTAAAGGTCACCCAACGACTCTCAAATAATTAAAATAATGTAGACATATTATACAGCAGACACAAACAACAAGGAAATGCTTATTATCCGAGGAAAAATAGAAGAGAGAGAGAGAGAGAGAGAGAGAGAGAGAGAGAGAGAGAGAGAGAGAGAGAGAGAGAGAGAGAGAGAGAGAGAGAGAAAGAGAGAGAGAGAGAGAGAGAGAGAAGAAGAGAGAGAGAGAGAGAGAGAGAGAGAGAGAGAGAGAGAGAGAGAGAGAGAGAGAGAGAGAGAGAGAGAGAGAGAGAGAGAGAGAGAGAGAGAGAGAGAGAGAGAAGAGAGAGAGAGAGAGAGAGAGAGAGAGAGAGAGAGAGAGAGAGAGAGAGAGAGAGAGGAGAGAGAGAGAGAGAGAGAGAGAGAGAGAGAGAGAGAGAGAGAGAGAAATTTCTGAGAGTGTTATCAAGAGATATCCGCTAATATATTTCAAGCTAGCGTAAAAAAAGTAATTATTGGCAATATGATCGTCAACGTTCAATATCGGACAGAGTACTGAAAGAAAAAAAAACATGAATTTACCCATCTATCTGTTCACTTCCCCTGCCTTTCTTTTTCGTTTCAGTGAAAACTGTTACTTCCATTGAGAAGCTTCTTAGCTCATCTAAAACCTCCTTCTGTTTACTGCTTAGTCGTTTATTATTATAGATGCCAAAATTTACAATTCTTTTTCATTTAAAAAGTCGTCTTCTATTAAGTTCATACGTCTCAATTCCCAAATTGTAGGTCTAGGAAGTCTTCTGTTAGGGTTACCATACTCTAGACCTTATTTTTCGTTATATAAGACTGGCTGTTATAATTATTATAATATAACGACAGTATTGAGCATTTGAGTGAGGTAACAGGTAATACTCTTTTAGAGTTCCAAGTAAAGGACAGACTACTTCAGGGCTTCGCAACTCTACCCCCACGCCAACTACTATTTCTCTTCTATGCTACCTCCTAGGAAAAAACAAGTCCAAATCCTGTACTCCATCTAACCCCCATATATTCTTCCCTTACCATACTTATACCAAAAGGTCGTTAAACATTACTGAAGGAGGGCAGCGGCGATCGGCAGTACCAGAATAAGGCACATAGGAAATTGGTTGTGATACTGGGATGCAATGGGGCACGGCAATCCATTACATTATCGTTCGCAAGAAAGTTATGTGTATGTCTGAGAGAATGCCTCAGATGTTGTCACGCAGTCCAGATGACGACCGGTGCTACCTTGAGCCCGGGTCAAGAAGTGCGAAATTGGTGACCAGCCAGGCAAATGTTAGTGATTAGGCATCATGTTTGGAAATTCAGCTACTGGTCCACAGAAATTAGCATTTAGAACATTAATTAATGCTGGTACATGAAACGTACCAGAGCTAAAGACAATCACAGATAAGCTGTCAATTATTGAAAGAGAGCTGGCAAGGTATAACATCAAAATCTCTGGACTAGCTGAAACTATTCTGATCTAACCAAGATTACAAAAGTCTGTCGTTAAATTAAAAGAGGTGAGCGATGATATAGTTCTCCTTAAACTGAAAAACAAACCACATAAACCCAATATCATACAAGTTTATGAGCCAGCCAGTACAGCAGACGACAAAACAGTCGAATAATTCTAAGTAAACTTGGAAACAACAATTACCAATATTCCAAATAATGAACTAAACCTAATATGCGATGACATTACCGCAAAAATCGGCAACACTACACAGAATGACGACCTAACGAATGTACTGGGAAAGATTGACATAGGTCAGAGAAATGAAAGAGAAGACCGCTTAATCTAGAAAAGTCTTGAAAATAGGTCTAGAAATCAAATTAACTACATTCTCACTAATATTCGTTATTATAATATTTGCTAATAACGGCTTCATGACTGGACAAAATCTACAATAGCGAAAATATATAAATAATTCTGCTTCCATAAATCCGACACCTATAGAATCACCTCTCTTATCTGACATGCCAGCAAAATAATGCTACATATAATCAATGAGAGAGAGAGACTGAAAACTTTCCTACTAAAAGAGAAATACCCCAAGAGCAAACTGGATTTATCAAAGGTAGAAGTAATCCAGAACATCTTCTGAACATATGACAAATGACAACACTTATAGCAGATACTAAAAGAAGTAGGCGTACCACAACACTTAATTTCGCTAATAACTATATTATACGAACACATCTTGACATCTTCCCCAACTAATAACGTTGCAAAAAACTTGGCAACAGTGTACGTCTAGGTTATACACTCTAACATATTTACCGCCACTACATCGTATTAAATTTTTAATAGAATCTTAGTGAATGTGTTAAGCAGGTAAGTTTACACAATAGGGTTTATTACTTTTTGTTTGTACGGTAATTCATACTTAATAATTCCTTGTGATATAAAGTGTATGTAAATCAATATTTTGAATCTTAAATGGAATTTTAACCTACAAAATCTAAAATATGTAAGGGGTCAACTACTGGAACAAAATAAATAGCATTGCTCCAGTAGTTGACACCCCTGTCATCTACTTTAACAAAGCAAAATTTTTATATTCTTGTTTCATTTCAACTTATTTACCATGATATACCTAACCATTTATGTTTAAAATATTGTTCTAAAGATACAATTTCCTATAGCTGACCCAGGGTGCAACCTTTAGGTACAATATGTATGTATGCATGACCCTTGGAAATTTTTTTTTACTCAAATCTTTTAAGTACCTAAATAACAGATAAAATAAAGAAATAAGAAATAATAATACATATTGCTTTTTTATTATGTAACAAATATTTCATATTATCATATTTTACTGTTATTTTCAAATCTTAAAAGTCAAGAAATCCATTTCTTTATCGAAATGAATGCTTAACTAACTACTTAATTCCTTATATATTTTTTACAGATATGGCTACAATAAAAATTTTGAAATACCCTGAAATTTCAATGACAAACGCCCTTAATGCGGTAAGAAATGGAATGCCAGTTAAAACAGCGGCAAAACAATTCAATGTGCCAAAAACCACCTTGATTTATAAATTTAAAGGTGTTAACCCAGAAGCAAGAAAAATAGGACCTGCCACGTTATTTTCGAAAAGTGAAGAGGATTTGCTGGATAAGTGGATAATTAACATGTCTAAATGTGGTTTTCCGATTTCCAAAGATTTTTTTTATAGAGTTCCTCGAAATTAGGGAAGGAACTCAACAAATCATTTAAGAATGATGTACCAGAAAGAAAATGGTATGAAAGTTTTTTACGGAGACATCGTAAAAAAAGCCTTAGGACTCCCCAAAATTTAACAATGAGTAGATCTTCTATTTAAAAAATATAACTAGGGAGATGGTACGACGAAGTATACGATTTCTTACAAACAAAAGTGTTGGCTCTGAAGGGTAGTAAGACTGTTTACTCAACAGTCAATAGCAATGAAAAGGAGTGCCTCACTGTGCTACTCAATGAAAATGCCGCAGGAAGTTTAGCCCCACCAATTATAATTTTTCGAGATAGAAGAATACCTTCAGATCTTTTTGAAAGCGTTGGAAATTGGTGTGTCCGAAAACGGGTGGATGACATCAGATACTTTTTATTCTTATATGGCCAATGTGTTTTACCCTTGGTCAATACAACATCTATTGTAGCAAAACAACTTTCTATTATATTTTTTGTCGATAGGCATGCTTCCCATTTATCCTTTCATCTCAGTAAATTCTGCTCAGAAAAAAATATAATTCTGATTGCTTTGTATCCAAACGCTACCCATTTACTGCAGCCTATGGACGGAGCCGTGTTTGGCACATTAAAATCAGGTTGGAAGGAGTAAGTAAGTTCTTGGAGATTAAAAACTCAACACGAGTTATTAAGAAGACGGGATTTCGCTCCACTATTAGATGCGACAATAAAAGATCGCATAGGTAACTCCGAAAATTCTAGAAAATGGATTTAAAAAATGCCGTATATTTCCGTGTAATCCCAAAGTTGTTAATGATTTTTTCTTTTTTCTCCAACAATGAAGATCACACTTATTTACATGACCAGTAAAGTAAAAAAAGTCTGAAAACTCCGAATAAAGAAAAAATCTTGCTTTTATTGAATCTTTTATAGAGACATATAAACTTATTCAATTTGAAAATGCACTCACTACATAAGACAAAGTGGTGTGGGTCAATAGAAGATACGTCATTATTTAAAGTTTGGAAAAAAATTAAACATAGCGAAAATAACTTAACTGCACAAAATCTTGAAAACTTTATTGAAGATGCTGAAATTGTTTTTTGAAGATACAGATCTTAACTTTGATCTTGTCGATACTGCAGGAAATTCAATGGATGCTATTGAATTCCTTGATATTGATTCAAGTCTTGTTTCAAATTTAACAATTTCTCCTATCAAAAAAATTAAAATACTAAATGTAACAGATGTAACGCCTCAAAATATCAATCTAAAATTGTTAGAAGCCCCAGATATAGAGATCAAAGATCTACTAAAATTAAATCTGGATTTGCCATAACATATAACACCTATCAAAGACACTATAAAAGATATAACACCTTAAAATAATAATCTAGAATTGTCAGAAAACCCAAATACAAGAATCATCAGTCCACCAAAGAAAATCTGGATTTGCCACAACATGTAACGCCTACTAAAAATACTGAGATTTTTCAAAATTTCTTGAAGTCAAATCTAGAGATCTCAGAAGACAAAGCTTCATTAAATAATTATCATATAAATGTACCCAGTACAAAAACTGATCCAAATGTTCCTAGTCCATTCAAGCGAGCACTCTTCTGGCCAGAGCCAAAACCAGAATTAAGAAAAAGTAAAGAAAAAATACCAAGTGTAGTGACAAGTCAAATGTGGCAGGAGTATAATCACAAAAAAAACCAAAAAAAAAGTAAAATTGAAGCTAAAAAACTAGAAAGAAAAAGAAAGCAAGAAGTCAAGAAAAAAGACAGAGAAGCCAAAACAAAATTGGTATAAAAACGAAAACCTACTTCTGAGAATGTGTCATTAGATTTAAAAGGAAAACATAAATAATTCATCTAGAAAAAAGCCCAAACTTTACGATTACGTGGTGATAGAGTATGATGGTAAATATTTTCTAGGTAAAGTTACAGCAGCCAGAAAACAGGAGTATTTCGTTTCCGCAATGACTCAAAGTGGTAGAACAGGATGGCGATGGCCAGATACAAAAGATCAAATATGGTATGATGAAAAAAATGTCGTTAGAATTATTGATTCACCGAAGGTTAAAAATTCCAGAGGTATATTCCACATAGAAGACATGAATACGTTTACAGAATTCACCGAAAATTAATTTTCTTTGATTAACATTTAAATTTCAGTTTTATATACAATCATTTCTTCAATTTGTTGTATTATGTTTGTAATAAAATATATTTTTTTAAACTTCGACACATTATTACACACAACAGTTAGTACCAGTCAGGGTCACGCCAGGTATAAGTACAAAGGGGGTCACATTTACGTACACTTCCAAATTTTGAGGCTAAAAATTATATAATTTTAAACATTTTTACATTTATTAGTAACCATAATATCATCAGAACCTATGAAGCAGTACTTTAAAACACATTTTATATTTTTTCGTTAAATATTGTAAATAATCAATCAAAAAGATACTACAGTGTCAGGTACTGGTGCATTTACCTTACTGAAACAATAATTAAAGTGCTTGATACACGATTAATGGGAGAGCTTAATTAATTTACTCATAAACAGATTTTACATATGGTTGGAAGAAAATTCGTTTATTGATAATTTAAACATTAACCTCACTCGTTACATAATTATTGAGGCAATAATAATCGCTTCACATGCGAATTACAATTTATATCTAATAACTCGGTCACATATCTAATAATCAGATTGACTGACCGTGCAAACAAATGCCGTATGTTAATAAACAAACACTTGTATAACAATGTGTACACTTCACACCTTCTGAAGCGAAGATATTACAAGAAAGATCTAAATTCGGTAGAGTGAGTATATTAAAAGTGATGCAGTGTTAAACAAAAATGTACTTACCCAGTTCTCACGAAATTTGCTATGTAGATGAGAAATGATTCAGACAAGGCTAATTCAGACTTAGTATAGTTTTTAGCAAAGTGATTAAAACCATCTACAAGGGGTGCTCCAAAAATATACGGCAACTCTTCTCCATGAACAGTTCCCATTCTCTGCAACACAATAAATTTTATTAAGTTCAAGTTTTTCACTATTCTCATGCAAATAGGTTATCCGCAACATGTGAGTAATTTTATTTTCCACAAAGTCTGAGTGTGTGAACTATAGCGGGGTAAACAATGTGTACACACACACTTTGTTTTGTGTAATGAAACTGCAATGGAACTTGTCATGCAAATGAAACATGTTTTATTGTGGTCAACATTCCCATTCGGGATGCTTTTAGTCCCTTTGATCATTTTGCTAGAGATAATCGTCAATTAAACCTGGCAGATAATATTCAAAACTCGATTAAAGCCAAAAGCGAACAAATATTAGTAATATTCAGGAAAAATACGTAACCACGTAATTGTTAATATTATTGTGCCTATAATAACAGTAATTATAATCTTTGATGAAATATATTGCTCATTTAGTACCAAATAAAAATACTTAAGTAATTACTAGGAAATATTTTCAACATGTTCTTTTTCCAATTGAATATAATGTGAAATTGACGGTAAAGGCTCCTCGTCCACGGAGTTACTGGTTTTTGATGCGACTGTTTAAATACTGTAGTAACGAAGCAGTTGGATACTCGGTTCCCGTACGCTTAGCGATGCGAAAGTTACAAGAAAAATATTAGTATACCAACAGACGCTATATTTATAATGAGGAAATTGCAAGAGAAATCATTAGAATACAACAAACTGGCACGTCTATGTTTCTATGGACCTTAAGGCTCATCCTCGAAAATCCTAACGGTAAATTTCAGTGGGCTATCTCTATTTCAAAAATTTCTTTCTTTACGAAAACAAAATCTGTTCATGAAGTAATATTCTAAACTTTGTTCAGATATCTCTCTCAAACCCAGGTCAAAAATGCGTCATGTTTTACTCGAGCGGATTATACAACCGAGACAACCCCTGCAGTGACAGGTTTTGGCTTACAATAAAACCATAAATTTCTCTTTAGTGGTGTTTTGAGTAAATAGACAAACAGATCAAAGTAATATAATCTATTCATAAATTTACAATGTAACAAATGTACATACATAATTTATTTGTTACTTTTTACAGAGAAATTGGTTGTCTGAATTTTAACTTAGATTAAAGTTTACGAAAAATAAAAATTATAAAAAAAGATTAAAATTATAATTATATCATAAAAAATTGATTAGTATCCCGATCATTAAAATTGATAAAATGAAACTATATAAATATAGAATTATGTCTAATGTTTCTTCACAAGGTGTTTCAAATAAAAATTATAAAAAAATCTTATCTAATTAGTATCACGATCATTAAAATTGATCAAATGAAACTATATAAATATAGAATTATGTCTAATGTTTCTTCAGAAGGCGTTTCAAATAAAAATTATAATAACTATCTTTCAATTGTTGTAGCATATTTTCTCACAGTTCCATATATTTATCAATCTTTTCGAATTAAATATTTTTTGGGGTCCATACCCCAACTAATAACATTCTCTATTCGATATAAATAACAAAATAACTGTCCTTGCACAGGATAGTAATAGGAATCAGTTCTTTTTAAAATTTCTTGAAGGAAGGTATAATTTAGTCACGCTATCATTTCCAATTTTGATTTTTGATATTGAATTTGATAGGTTGTGGTTTATTACACCAAAATCTAATAAAATATAACATGACACAAGAAATAGTTTCAGAATAAGTTTGATGTGTTGTTTATTATCATTCAGTAAGAGACTAATTTACTTCTTACAATGCTAATCTAACAGACAATTATTATTGTCAAATGAAAGAAATAAGGTAATTTACTTGTGTGCTTGTGGTTAGTAAACGTCGTCCCTATGCAATTAATTGTCAACAAAGAACGGATTACAAAAGTTTAGATTTATGAGATTTATAAGGAGCATTTATGAAACTTAGATGTATATACTGAGTACTTATTTCAAAAGTTTACAACTAAGGATTTAATTTGTTATATGTAAATATACTCCTAGATCTAGAGAAAATGGGAGTGCGACAATGGGAATTACTGGCACAGGAGCGACAAACATGGAAGGCAATAGTAACCGCGGCAAAGACTCACGAAGAGTTGTAGCGCCATTGATGATGATGATGATGATGAAATATACTGTATTAATATTTATATGGATGTGAAATATGGGTCATGAAGGATAATATGATAGACATTTTAGGATGTACTTTGAAAAATTAAGGCAAATATCGAGCACAAATTTAATAATCAAATCTTGCCCAAGTACTTTCACTTTCTACAGCATCATCAGAGGCATCTGAAATAAGCCAAGAAAAGTTTTTTTAAATGAAGAAAATTAATTAACTTCGATAAAAACTCGAAGTTAATGGATGATAAAGTTTGTTGTGATTAACATTTTAGACTTACTTCGACAAATTTAGGCTATCCAGCAAGCGCAGATGCCCCTGATCATGCTGTAGAAAGCGAAAGTACTTAGGCAAGATTTGATTATTAAATTTCTGCTCAAAATTTGCCTTCATTTTTTAAAGTTCATTTATTCGAGCATTCAACCTTATATCAATAATTTAGGATGAGACTTAGGTATATGATAAAGTATGGCAAAGACGCCATAACTATAAACTAACACTACATTTACCAAAACGATACTCTCAAATAATTGACTCCTGCATCTTGGAAAGATATTTCAGAATTAAACAGGAAGAAACATACACGGAATTGAAAGATATTACAGCAGGGCTGCCACAAAGAAGTGTCTTTACCTTTTGTATACGTGTTATATTATTGTCCTAGAAAATATACAATATATACAATATACAAAATATACAATTGCAACATTTACCGATGATATTGCTATCATAGCAATATGCAAAACCAGCGAGGAAGCGACAAAGAAATTACACAGATGTTAATCAAATATATACTCCAGGAAAATAAGCAAAAAATAGACCATGTTCGTGACACTCAATAATCCAGGTCGCTGACAACTTTTTTAGTTATAGTAGACCTATAGGAAGAAAACCTACCTGTTTCCTGCCTTGAATTTGGAGCTGTTTTTTAATTATTGTCAATTTAATGCAAAAAAACGCGATTGTTTCATGATTATTGAGACTAGTATTAAAAAGAAAATAGATTTTTGGAAGAAAATTATTTTACTACTATAGTTACTATTCTTTCTGATATGTATTGACACTCTTTGAGGTAATTTTGATATCTTTGGTGTAGTAGTAAGTCTACAACTTCTTTGGCCCTGTTTTCTTTTGCTACTCCACTGTAGATTAGTATGTATTCACCTAATTTTGATTGACCTTTTCCTTTATTTTTTGTTTTCTGTAGAGGACAAATGTCTATTTCTTTTTCTTTCAACACTTGGGTTATTTCTTGGTCCCTTAAGTTGAGTGATCTGACATTCCAAGTAGTAATTCTCATCTGGGTTTTGGATGTTTTTCGCTTGTCCTTATTTCTTGCCATAGTCCTTCATAGTATCAATCCGGTTCTGAGACTGTACATTGTTTCTTTGAGTAGTATTTGTTTTTACGATTGGTAGGTTACTAACCAATAAATATAAATAATTAAATTCCATATTTAAATACTGCAAAATATTTGGTTATTACTCTGAGCTCATGTAAAGAAGAAAAGAAAATAATAATGTACTGGCTGATTAACCAAAATTCTACGCTATTTCTATATAATAAATTATTATTATATAAGCAAATACTGAAACAATAGTATTATTATAAAACACTATAAATATTTAGAAGGAAAATGTCACTAATCAACAGAAAATATTTATATTCATATAAAAATTTAATCAAATTATAGGTACTTACTGCTTATTTATATACAATTTACTATTTTAAATACAATAAACACACTGGTTTGTCAAAAGTTGGAATAAGCCCCAATAATGTTATTCAACTTTATTTATCCTCCTCCGAGGGTTTTACCTACCTGGCGAGAATCCAGAAGCTATCGACAAGGACAGCCTGTGCTGACGGAGAGAAAATTACATGTAGCAGAACTTTGAAATTTTTTAAATGTTTATACCAAGTAGCTGCTTTGTGTTACACTTTATGTTAAAAATAAAAACAGATTCGGAAAGTGGGTCAAATTCTGTAGTGCCCTATTAAAAAAAAAAAAAAATTACGTTTATTTTAACCAAAAATATTTGAAAAAAAAATTGTTTAAACAATTTATTAATTTACAACCAAATAGTGCACTAGAACTTTTTAAGACCTTTCATATAAAAAAAGAATCATCTCAATATCTGCCATAGTTTTTGCGTTATTTGATATAAACTTTTACATTGGAATTTACCTATGCCCAGAATCGCGAGGATCGGCCTTAAGAAGGCACTTAACCAGGTCCAATTAAAGGACTTTAGCCACTTATTGTACGCAAAAGAGATACCTCTAGAAATAATCAAAACAATCGAAAATATCTACCAAAACAACACAATAAAAGTAAAAGTAGAAGAAAAACTAAACGACCCTATTGAATCTGGCTATGGGATAAGGCAGGGACATTCTCTGAGTCCTTTATTCTTCAACCTGATTATAGATGAAATAATAAAAAAGTAAGAACTAAAAAAGGATACCAAATAGGAGAAAAACAACGCAACGCAAAAAACAACGAAAAAACGACGCAATACTACTCTCTCAATGTGAAGACAATTTACATATGCTGCACCAATTTAATATAACCGCCAGAAAATTTATCATGTTAATTTCCCCAAAAAAAGACACAATGCATGGTTACAACAACAAATTTACTAAGATGTAAGTTGGAGCTGGAAGGTCAGATAATAGAACAAGTGATGGAGTTTAAACATTTAGACATCACATTATCTAGCTACGGAAAGGTCGAAACTGAAGTGGAAGATCAAGTGAATAGAGCAAGCAGAGCCGCAGGCTACCTGAATGAAACAATATGAAGAAATAAAAATATCAGAAAAGAAATGAAAGGCAGAATTTACAAAACAGTCATCAGACCAATAATAGTATACGCGGCAGAAACACGACCTGACACAG